TATGAGGAACTACTGGGAGAATTTTGATTAATCAGTGTTCTGGCTTGATGACTTTTAGTTAGGCTTCTCTTAGTTTAAATGCCATTTTGCTGCGAAGGCTTCATTAGGACAAACTAGTAAGTCTTGCTCCCTTGGGATGGTGAAGTTTGTGCCTGTGGTGTGGGAAGAACTCATTTGGAAGAGAGAAAAAGCGTTGAGGGCTCCTCTTCCACTTCTGCAGCCAGAGACCAGAAAATAGAAGGCTTAAGAAACATGAGGTTTCTGACACCGTTGCTTGAACTGGCTTCAGATTGCAGAACTTGATGCTTTTTAGTCACGCACAGCAATGCTTTATGAGTCTGTCACTGTTGCATTGATTAACTGCAACTTTTGCCAAAAGACTTGCTCCTGGGGCTAGTTGAACCATTACATCCTCCAGTATGGATTGGAAGTCTCAAGTAGTGCATTTATACTGGTTCAGTGTTTCTTCCTAATTTCCTCTTGCAATGTATTGCCTCCCTTTTCTGGGCGTGCTCTTTGAGGGCTCCAGCACTGCGGTTTCATCCAGTTCTTGGAAGCCTTGTTTGTCTCATCCATAGTGTGTACTGTTAATGCTTTATCCCTGATTGATAGTCACTTCTTTGAAACTATACTGCTGCACTAACCATACAACTCACTGCTGCTTGTGGTGCTCGTAAGCACTGGGACAGCCATCTGACCGAAGCCTGCTTGAAAAGTGGAGCTACCCAAGGTTTCAACGCAGCAAGGAAGAGCTTGTTCCTTTGGAGGATGGTTTATTCCACAGTGTAGCAAAGGTTTATCTAATTTGGAATGAAGCTCAGTGCTGACTACTGGAGGACATAGAGTGAGGATTCGAGGCAAGGTGTGAGCTGAGACTTTGGAATTACTTGCTACATCTGAAGCACAAGATTTCTTCCCAATGGACAAGCCATTAGTGGAGTCACCCTGCATTAAAGATGCTTGCTGAAGGAGTTGGATACATTCCTTGAGGGAGAAAAGGAATTCTGAAGTCAACAGAGAAGGCCAACAATGACAAGCTATGAAGGATGACAAACTGGCCCTGCAAGGTATAGTTGTCTTGGTTTTGTTGTGTTGTGCTCTGTTTCTTACAGTGGATAGAGAGGTGAGGTGGAGTTAGTTCTGAAGGCTTCACGCTCAAACTTGCAACTGTCTGGCAGGTGTTAACTCTTTCAACCTCAGTTCTTCATGAGATTACCACCTGTTCCTTATCTTTTCTCAGGCTGTTGCCCCCTGTGCTCCAGAAGCATAGTCTTCTGCTGCTTACTATTACTGTCCCTGTAAAAGTAGAAATGAAGAATCTGTCCATATTAAGTCTTCTGACTTAATGAGCAGCTGAATACTTGAGTTACAGGAAAACTAAATGGCAGATGAAAATACTAAACTATTATCTTCATGACCTCTTCATTAATGGAGAAGCCAAATTAGGTATTTTACTAACTTACTGTATTATAATATTTACTAACTTACTGTATTATATTATTTAGCCCTCATGAAGGCCCCATAAAGTAATGAACCTGTCATAGGTGGCAGATAAAACCATGAATGTTGCAGCATACTTGCTTTGACAGTCATCTGTCGTTGCACACAAGTCAGGTGCGACACTGCAGCATTGCAGCCAGTGGGTTCGAGACACTGAGCCCTTGCTCTACTGCCCAAAGACATGAGCTGTACCTGGAGGCCAGTGTGTGGGACTAGTAAAATGGAGAACATGGCAGCATATGCCACTGAGGTCAAAGGGAGAATGGTCCTGGAGGGAAACTAGTGCCTTGTGGCTTTGTCTGATAAATTGCCAGAGCATGCTATCTCAGTAGGAGTCAGATTATGTGAAGCTCTTGAACATCTTCTTGTTACTAGAGAAGAACCTTTCCTTTGTTTCCCATTAGCTGACCAGATGCTGACACTCACTCTCAGGTAGTCAGTGAGCTGCTTTCTGAACTCTGCCTTGAAACCAGGTAGATGCACAAATAGGATTATGATGATTTCTTGCATAGCTGGAGATGAGATGCAGTAGTTTGGGAAGACCTGTGTTGAATTGGTATCTCCAATGTGGAGAGTAGTGTTTAATTTAGCATTGTTGACACTCCGGGATGGAGTGTTTGCAGCTACTGGGGAAAGATGCCACCTGTGGACTGAATCATTAGAGTGCTATTGCCCTTTTGTAACTGTGAGTTGACTTGCAATGCAGAGCTCAAACTACAGCCTCAGAATCGCCTTAAAAAATAGGTATTGTTGAATCATTGCAAATACCTCATTGGGAAAAAGCAAGCTATTTTGATTCTGGTGTTTTGTTTTTTTAATTAAGCAGCAAAACTAAGACTATGTAATAAGAATAAATTTCTTCCTACATCAACAAATTCTTAGGAGACCATGCCTTGTATTTTGTTCAACGTGAACCTTAATAATAGAACTGTATTTGCAGCTGCATTTGCAAAAAGCAGCTTTTGTGCTATTCAGATCATAATGTAATTCCTTTTCTTCCGATTCTCCTTCAGATGCTGTCAAGATAGTGTACTGGAGTCTCAATTAGGAAGAAAGTTACGTGTACTGAGATGCTTCTCTGCCTGGTCACTGTAATTTTGAAGCAGCAAAAGAGAAGTGTTGCAGAGAACCTTGGTTGCTGACGGAAGGCAGTAATCATGATGATGAGGTACAAGAAAAGGAAGTAAGAATAACAGCTGGTGTCTGAAGTTGTAGTTGCAGAGATGGACAGAAGGTGAGATGCTGGGGCTGAAGACAGAAGATTCAAGACACATGAAACACCACAGCTCTTGGGTGGCTGGAGATGGAGATACATGGCTTTTAATACATCTTGGAAAATGGACTCAGAAGGGACACCTGCCAAGTGATGCATCTTCCTTCCCGCATTGGGGTTCCTTCACTAGTGAATTTATATGCTTTATTCTAGTCATAAACTTTTGGATAGTTTTTCCTAAATATCTTTCCTTGTGGCTTCGTCTTGCTTGTCAGAACTTCTCTGCATGCCTGTGACTTGCTTCTTCCCTGATATGTTGGTTTTTACAGTAGAAAGCATGTCATCCTTACTAATTGATACCTTAAGGAATTCTATGAATGAGAAAAGCAAAAGAACTTCCTTACAGTACAGATGTTCTGCTACCTCAAATTGCTCAACTGATTCAAAGCAATTAACAAGGGGTGCTGTCAGAATTTGATTAGACTGGTGTGGCTTGACAGCTGAGGGCTATTTGCTTCCTCAACTGAGGCAACTGTTCCAGACAGCGTGCATCCAGGTTCTCTGTGTATCGTATAGTCAGTCTTCTGTACCTTTCATGGGGCAAAAGAGATGAGAAAAGCTGCTTCAGTGACTCCAGAGTGCTTGGGAAGTTGTGGCTGACAAAGATACTTCTACCTGACTCTTTATTACCTAGTTCATCAAATCAATGATACTCGGAATGACACTTCTTATTCTTGGCACTGCTTCACTGCAGATAGAGAACATCCTTAATTTCTGGTCACTTTGGGTTCTCTGTTCTTCTGATGGCTATGGAGGATAAAGTTAAGATCCTCCTACGGTTCAAGTCTTTAATGTAAGTTTTTTTCCCCATGCTTACTGGCGCAGTATAATACTGCTGCCTTGATACATCAAGAGAAATGTTAGGAAAAATGTGAGTCTTGTGGCCTCAGTGAGTTTTTGCTGAAGTGTGGATGCCAGACGTTTGTATTTGGTTTAATTTACTGGCTTTTAATCGGTCAAGATAACAAAACA